AAATATATAAATATATAACAACTCCTAATTTATGATAATGTCCTCATTAAATGAGTGATAATCATATGATTTGTTATATTCTTCTTATGATCTATAAATATAAATGTCATTTTCACTAGAAGGGGGCAATGACATTATTCCCCAAAAACTTAATATTATTTGTTTTGTTTCACTTAATTTCTTTCTTCTAATTCGACCAACACTTTATTCTTAGGGCGTGACCCGTAGAACAATTTAGGATCGAATAAATTTTAATATTTTTATGCCACCCTTAATTAAATAGCAATTTGTACTTTATTTTTTTAAAATTAAAATAATGTTTTTTTTTTTATGGGACATGTAAGAGTTAGGTGTTATAAGTGTATAAAATATTATTTTGGTATTACATATTTAAATATAAAATAGTTAGCATAAAAACGTTTAGGCGCACAATTAGTATTCAGTCCCGTCTACTTCGTGGAATATAATCAAAGCGGAGGCAATTTGTGGGTCCCACTATTTGCAGGCTCATCCAACCTTTTATTTTGTCTTAAGCTGTGGATGAGATGCAATCATGCAAACAAAAGTACCCCTAACTTTCCCTATCGCCCTTTAATGCGCGTCTTTTGCAGTAATAGACCTCTAATTAAATGAATTTGCAAAATCATTATTATAAAAAGTCATCCAAAAAACTATGGGCTTTGTAAAAAGTTTAGTCACCCGGAATCAAAGAGAAGATAAAAAAGAGAGCAATTAGTTGATGGGAGAAAAAATAATAAAATAAATAAAGAAAAAATTAGTATATTTATCTTAATTACTTTTTTATTCACAAGGAGTTTTAAATTTATTAAATTTATTTTGAGATGAATGCAATAGAAAGTTTTGATTGATTGGCTATATATTGTATTTATTTTTCAAAAAAAATTAATGATTTTGAGATCAACGTGACACGGGGCGTCAAATTAATGTGGGGCATCAAATTGACACGACGACTATCACGTCCCAACTTGGAAAGATTTGGTTTTGACAATCTGAACAGGGAAGTTGATTCCCTGTTATCCTAGGATTTTTATCTGCTCTGTGATGTCTAGGTTTTTATTTTTCGTGTGTTTGTTCGGGAAAGCTATCGACGTCTCTGCTTTCTTGTCCAGAGTTGTATCCAAGAGCCGAGCGGTGCTCTAAATATATCGCGCTCCCGAGATGGTGATTATCCTTCCTTCTAATCCTTCTCACATTACTCCCTGTCACCCCTCCTTGTTATAGCCGCCCCGAACAACAACCCATGGTTGTTTTCTTGCAGTTTCCCACCTTCTAGCCGCCTTTACAAGTTACTGCAGCCCGAACCAAGCATCATTTTGTTATCCTACAATCCATCACATTGCCCGTTGCTGCTATGTCATTCCCCCTCTCTGTCTCTACCTAGAAAAATCATTAACTGTTGAATTCCTCGCTATCAATCCATCTTTCTTGATGCCACCTCCCAGGACGGCAAACACACTTGTTATTCTTGCAGCTTCACAGTTCCACCTCACTGATGTCAACACACCTTTTGCTGTCGCAATATCATCCAACCCCTTAATCACCCTTTGCGACCCCTCGAGAGGTCCAAACCCTCATTGATCACCACCACTATCCCATGATCCGCCCTAGTTTGAGTTTGTGTTCTATTTTGTTGTAATTTCATATTTCTATTTTGTTTGATTGTGATTGCTGATTTGATTTCAATATTACTATTTTCTTTTCCCAACATTGTTGGTTAACTCTAGTATAATCATACTCACATATCATATAAGTCAAGGCTATTGGATCACAATACTTGATTAGACATCTATAGTAGTGAAATTAATTAAGTTGTCATAAAAAAAAATTATCAAGAGAACTCTTCCTCAACTTGAACACCAAAAACTCTATCACAAAACAAGTACTAGCAAATTTGTGTGTTATACAACTATTTGTTTTAGTGTTTGAGGGTATTAATCTTATATATTTATTATGTAGTCATTCTTATAGCAACCTAGATTTTTTACTTACAAGTGAGAGGTTAAACTTCATTTTTAAGAACCATTCGATTTAGTCTTTTGGATTGAAACTCTAAGATCTTAACAACTCTCTAATTCTCTCTCTTCTATCTCTCAACTTGAAATTAAGAAACATTTCACTCTCTAAGCGGTTAGTCGTGTCTCTTCTAAACCTCGGGCTACTAAGGAGAATCTCTAAACATTATCATTTTACTCAATTTATAACTCTAGCAAGTTCTTAGTAGTAGTTGTCATGGACAATATTAGACCCAAAATTCTAATACGGTGTAGCTAGTATGGAGTTGGATAAAGAAAGTGTCTCGAGGAAGGGTCATGATAAGTTGACCACCAAGTTAACTAGATCACCTCTAAGCAACTTCAATGAATGAAAGATTGTCTCACCAGAATGATCAATAAAAACATTGAATAACTTTATTAGTTGATTAATTTGTTTAGTCTCCCTCAAATTATGATTTACTTACTTCTAAATTTCATTTGCTCTTGCATTAGAGCTACTGTTCTGGATCACTTTAATTAAGTGTTCTATATCCTTAAGGAGAGTACTTTACATGCTCATTTTCTACCTTGATCTAGAAAGTATTGCATACACCTCATATGTTTTTAGGGGAGGACATAACAAGGAGTGCTTGATTCTGTTATGGGCTAGCCTCTATGCCTTAAGGGGTTAGCAAAAATCCTAGGAAATTGCTTGTCGCAACCCCAAAGATGCATTTCAGTGGGTTTAGTTTCATGTTAAATTTTTTAAATGTTAGAAATGTTTCTTTTAGATCCTTAATGTGTTGTTCGGTTGACCGACTCTAAACTAATACATCGTCTACATACACCTCAATGTTCATTTATTTTTTATTACAAAAATTACATCCATGAGGCGTTGATAAATCACTCTGATATTTTTAAGCATGAAGGGCATTATATTGTAACAAAAAAAATCTCTCACAAGTAATAAAAGCAATCGTTTACGCATCAGCTGGGTGCATCTTGATTTGATGAAACCCGAAGAATGCAAAAAGAAAAATTAAGACTGAGTGGCCGACCACCTAATCCACAAAAACATCAATCCTTTGTAGAGGGTAAGAGTTATTTGAGCAAGTATACTTTAGGTAGGTAAAGTCCACATATATCCTCCATTTTTCGTTGGCCTTTTGTACCATCACCACATTGGAGACCCAAGGGGGTATTGTACTTTCTGAATGTACCTACCTACTCCAGCATTTGCACTTACTCTCTAATGGGTACCGCCATCATTATGGCTGAGCTTCTGATCTTTTACTTCATGGGTTGATCCAATGGATCAACATTCAATTTGTGGTATGCAGTGTCAATCGGCACACCCGACATCTCAACTACCATCCACATGAAATCATCTCGATTTTCTCAGAGCCTTTGGATCATCAAATCCATGTTACATGCATCAAAAGCTTCAATTATCAAAAAACATATACCCGGTCTTCCATCAATCGCCTGAACTTCATAAGTGGTCTCATTGGTCTCGAGGCCACCTTTCCTTGCTTTTATGTCAAGGGTGCGTGCTCCATCTTATTTATGGCTCGCAAATAGCAAACACGAGACTGTTCTAGGTTACCCTTGACTGTGATAATTTCTTCATCTCTAGGAAACTTGAAAACAACATGGTAAGTAGAGTCCACTGCCCTGAAATCATTCAGTAGCGGTCGACCGAATATAGGATTACATGTTGGGGGTGAATCAACCATGAGGAAATTTTCCTTGAGCGTAAATTGGTTCTCATTTTCTCTCCAACTTACCGAGAGCCAGACCACTCCCAACGCTTCATTCCTTTTGCTCGAGAATCCATGCAACTGACCAGTTGAAGCAGCCATCTGATCGACAGTGAGGCTTGATTTGTTGAATACCTGCTTGAATAGTATATTCACAGAATTCCTTGTATCAGTGAGAACATTTCCTACTTGATAATTGTTGATTATCGCCATCATTGCAATAGCGTTCTTATATGGGTTTCTCTTTGGGGGGAGATCTTCATTAGTATAGTAAATAGGTCGATGGCCCTTGGGTTTCGAGCAAAGGTTGCGGCGTGGAGTTCCTCAATTTGCTGACTCTTCCGGTTTGCTCACTTTGTGGTTCACTTCCTCTGAAGATTGCAGACACATATCCCGCGATGTTGATTGCATTGGTGTCGATGGACCTGTCGGTCGTTCCTCCTGTGGGAGCTTTGCCCTGCCTTTGGCTCGCAATAAATTCTTTCCACTTCTCCTCCTTTTTCACTTCCTAGATCATGCTTCATAAGTGTTTGCAATGTCCTGTGTCATGCCCATGATTTCTGTGATACTTGCAATACTTCCGACTATCTTGAAGGAAAGCATCGACTCTCATCAGCTCCGCCCTCCTGAAGAACGTCTTATCCTGAATAAGATCCACTATTTCCGTTATGGATACCCTCAGTGGGGTTTCCCGAGGTAATATGGGATTAAATTTCATCGGGATTCATGGTACTGAGATGATCGCAATTATCACCCAATTAATCAAATTGTCATGGGGAAAATAATTACATTTTATATTGGAAAATCTTATTCTCTCTCTCCATCTATTTTTTAAATGACTCTTTTTTTTCTATACTAAAAAAAACTTTTTATCTAAAGTTTGATTTATTAAAAAAATTTTGAGTCTTTAAAAGAAATGTTGAGACATAGAAACATCAACCATCATTCTTAAAAAGACTAGTTTGAACAAGTAATGCATGTCATATGATTAATTTTTTTTTGAATTTTAAAGAAAAGTTGCCCAAATTATTTAATTAGAGTCTCATCTTGAGTTTTTTTTTTCAAATTTCAAAAAAAAAAAACTTTTTAATCTACTCTATAACTATATATCTATAATATAGTTGTTGGGAATTTTTCTTTTCCTCCATCAACTCAAATTTGAATGCAATTACACTTAATTTATTAACATTTAGATTTTGGTCCTAATTATTTAATAGAAAAAAGGGCCTATAAATGTGATCCCCATTATTAAATCATTGAGAAAGATGACATTATTTCTACCACATTAAAGTTGAAGATATAGACTATCTTGAAATGAGCTGTTGGACTCAACTCATTCGATATGCTAATTATTTATAACAGAAAATTGATTCCCCGAATTCATTTTTCTCTCTCCACATTCATTTTGTCACATTCCAATCGCTCTCCCTCTGTCACTCTCCTGCTTCTGCTCACGGATACAGATGCGCTTATAATTTGAGTAAAGGGCTTTGCTTGTCAACCGTAAGGTTAAAAAACCCAATTTTGCAAGCGCCTGACCGAGCGCACCGAGTCCCGGCGAGCAAGAGATCGAGGGAGAGAAGGAGAAATGGGAACAGGTTGGAGGAGAGCATTCTGTACTTCGACTCCTCGAGATCCAGAAAACTCGGCGGCGCCGGAGAAACAGCAGAAGCAGCGGCGAGTTCGGCAGCAGTTAAGCCCTTCTTCAAGCCCAAGTAATCTGAGCCAGAGCCCCCGCAGGTTCGCCAAGTTTGGAGTCTTTTCAGGTGGGGGAAGCTGCAATTCATCTTCTCTCCGTCTGCGTTGCAGAACGGCGGATACTTCGTCGGAGCATCCCTTGCTTTCGCCGCCATTGGATAATATGAGCGCCCCCCATTGTAAAAACGGCGACTTTACAACACCGTACACGCCGCCTTCTTCTGCTGGGGTTAAAGGGAGCCCAAGATTGCTGCTGACGCGCTCGAACCCCTCCTCGCCGCGATCCCCTTCTAGATTCGCCTTGTTGAAGGCTACTCTTCGTCTTTCTCGGGTGAGGCAAATCTATTTCTGTTTTTCCGTTTTGAAATGTTCTAATTCGTTCTGGTTTTATGCTCAGCTCGTGCATCTGCGAGCTGGATCGGCTGGATCTGTTATTTTGGATAAGAATCAAAATCATTCTTTTTCGACCATCACTGTTAACTTGCAGATTGTCGCAATTATTGAAAAATATCTTCTCTGATTTCGTCCTCCCCATTAGAAAATGGAACTGAAAAGCTTTCTCTTTTACCTTTTTCTGCTGATTCCTCTCTGCCCATCTTTTTTCTCGTTCTTCTCTATATATATATGCTTGGGAGTTGGGATCTACCCTGCCTTTTCTTCACTTTGGCTCTGATGTTTATAAAAATCTGATCTTGTAAGATTCTTTTTATCGTTTTCATCCTCTCCGATTTGGTATACTAATGGCGTTAAGCTGTGCTGGTTTTGGTTGCAGAGCAGCTGCGGAATATGCTCACAGAGTGTGAGAACGGGCCAAAGAACGGCCGTTTTCACTGCGGAGTGTTCCCATTCCTTTCATTTTCCCTGCATCTCGTCACATGTCCGTAACCAGAGTCGAAACCAGGATGGTTGTCTTTCCTGCCCCGTATGCTCTGCTTCTTGGCGCGAGGTTCCTTTGTTATCTTCGCAGTCAAAGCCACTACCGCCGTCCACCACCAACAAGGATTTCAGTAACCTCAACGACAGTAGCAAAGCCAGGATCCAACGCAGCGGAGAAAACGATTTCAAGCAATCCGGTACTAACAAGATGTACGATGACGACGAACCTCTGCTACTCTCATCAGCAGCGCAAGGTGGTGGCTCCCGCGCACTCCACTTCAATCCGATACCAGAAGCTGATCTTGAAGATGAGGCGGAAGGAGCAATCTGTTATGGACGAAACGGAGTTGAAGCAGGTGGCTGCGGTGTGGATGTGGTTGCGTTGCCGGAAGCAGCTCTGGTCTCCGCAGATCGTAATCATCAGAACTATGTGATTTTATTGAGAGTAAAAGCTCCGGCTTTTGCGCAGCGATCTGTGTCCAAGGTAGCGGCTTCTGTGCTCGATCCATCTTGCCGAGCTCCTATAGATCTGGTTACAGTGTTAGATGTGAGTGGAAGTATGACATCTGCGGCGAAGCTACAGATGTTAAAAATGGCGATGCGGCTTTTAATCTCTTCTTTGGGCTCATCCGACCGCCTCTCCATAGTCGCTTTCTCGGCCGGAGCCAAGAGGCTTCTTCCTCTTGTGAGGATGTCAAGACAGGGCCAACGTTCGGCTCGTCAGATCGTCGACCGGCTCATTGTCTGCGGCGGCAACAGCGGCAGCAGCGGCGGGGATAATGGCGTGCAGGGAGATTGCCGATGTATCGGACACGCCCTCCGGAAGGCAACTAAAGTGCTAGAGGATAGAAGGGAGCGTAATCCAGTGGCAACCATTATGCTTCTCTCTGATAGTCATCAGGAGCAGTCTGCTTCTTCTCCAAGTCTTCGGGAGGAAGAAGCTGATATAGAGAATCATCGCCGCAATCCAATTCCTCCCTCGACAGAAACCGTAGCCACACGCTTCACCCATCTTGAAATCCCCATCGGATGCTCCACCGAGCTCAGTGGCGGCGGTGCTAATCAAGTCGAAGATGTTTTCTCTAAGTGCGTGAGCGGGCTGGTCAGCCTAGTTCTTCAAGACGTTCATCTCCAGCTCGCCTTCCCCTCTGCCTTAGTCTCCTCGATTTACTCCCATGGATCCGCCGGCGGCGGCGGCGGCGGCTGCGGAGAAGGAGGTGTCGGTCTCGCTCTATCGCAGGGAAAAGGTGGAAATCACGCCATTTCGGTTAGATTAGGAGATTTCTATGCTGATGAAAAAAGAGAGCTTCTTGTAGAGCTAAGACTTCCGGCGGCGCCGCCGCAACAACAAAGGAATGATTTTTTATCTTACAAATGCTGCTATCGAGATCCAACAAGTCGGGAGTTGGTTCTTTGTCAAGAGAGATCGGTCGTGTTGCCATCTCTGCGCCAAATTTCCCCTGCGGCGGTGAGTTCACTTGAGCTGCGCAACTTATTCATCACAACCCGAGCTCTGGTTGAATCCCGCCGTCTTACCGACCACAATGACTTTGAGACGGCCGCACATCTCCTCTCCAAAGCTCGATCTCTACTGATACAACCCAACGCTACCCCTTCCCACCATCATAAATATGTTGCGAGCTTAGAGTCGAGGCTTTCAGAGCTCCAGCGGCGGCAAAGGAGGCAGCAGCTTCCGTCGTCGTCTTCAATGCTGCGCCCTTCAGATCAGCTGACGCCCACCTCCGCCTGGCGCGCCGCCGAGCAGCTTGCAAAGGTGGCGATTTTAAGAAAGTCAATGAGTCGAGTGGGGGATTTACATGGATTTGAGAATGCGCGATTCTAGTTTGATAGAAAAATAGGATGGTGGGTGAAAAATTACCTTTTTTTTTACTGTTTGATTGATCCGAGTTGTTTGAAATCTGCTTCCACTTTTCTCGCTTTAAGCTATAACTGTATGAAGGAATCTTAATGATGAGAAAGCCGAACAGTTTAAGAACTGAAAACCAATCATTTCAAATCATGTCTACTTTTTAAATTTTTTTTCATGATTGGAAACTGATTCGATTGTATTATCTCAGATTGTAGATATTGGCTTTCAAACTAGCAACAATTTATTTGATAAATTGAAAATTTTCTTATATATAACCCCTTTTGAACATTAATCTTTCAACATGTCTATGCATAGAACCCCTTTTGAAATCTCTGACTTCTCCCCAACACCTTGGTGCCAATAAACCCACCTATTGCACCATCTCTAACATCATTTGCAACAACGCCTATGGACCTCTCGGTCATCTCTTTGTCTATGACATTGCTAGTTCCTAGCAATTAACATATCCAACCTCCTCTCCTTGCACAAAGTTGAATCTTCACTCCCTCACATGGAGTCAACTCCTACGATTGAAATTTGGTTCAAATATTGTCATATGATCCAATTTTTTAGGTCTTGATGACCGACATTTTGAAGATGTGTGTAACTCCGCAAATTGGTTGAAGGAATAAAGAAGACAAAATTAATTTGAGAAATTCGATGATTCCAACAACTTCATAAATTAGGCGGATGGGGAGAAGAATAAAACACAAAATATGGGAGGCATTTCATTTTTCACACCCAATGTCTCCAAATGGTCACTTTATAGAATTATAAGTCTTACAAATACTAATTAACTACTCTTACTAATCAAACACAAGCCCTAATCATCCTTAAAATTGGGCTCACCTACTTTAATTGAAATTAATTTCAATTAATCAAATATTATGCACAAATTGTGATACAAAATTTATGTCCACTACATACTTATATATATATATATATATATATATATAAACGCAATTAACAAACTTTTGCCATCTCACAGGGATCAAGAGGCATGTCATAAATCTTGAGATACTTTTTTTGAGCAAAAAACGTGTAAGCAAGAATTTAAAAATCATCCCGAACTTTGATTTTAACAAACTTGCAGTTAAAATGACTGGTTTGACGAGACAAATTCAATGATACTAAAATTGGTCCAACTTGCATGATCAAGCTTTTAAACCATTTTTTGTATGTTTTTTGTGTATTTGGAAGGTCAAAGAAATTTCAAATCTTAAATGCTTACAGTCAAATCGAGCATCTCAATAAGATAAATCCAACAAGTCCAAAATCACTCAATTTCGACATCATTATAGCTACTAAATATCTAGAGGTCACTATCCAATTGAGTGAATTTTTGCATATCGTGAAATCAGAGTGGTTTGTATTTCTTCATTATTTACAATTTGTACTCTATAAGTAAAGCCCTACAATTATCTTGAGAAAGGGACCTAAACCTTAAGCATTAAGAAGACTATAGCTTGAAGTAGTTGAAATCTAACATCGTGTGTGCACTGCAAATCCGAAAAATACCTCCTCCTTCGTTCCCTGCATCTTTTGATCACCTCCAAGCCGCCAACGCGCCCATTAGCCAACTCCTACCGCAACCTCCGAAAAACTCCTACAACTGCTGTCAGCGTCCACCATCGCTGACCGTCATTGGTCGCACACCACCCACTCCTTGTAATAAAGTCCGTTGAAGAGTCATAATGCGCATTATGGAACCTCAACATACATTGTGGAATAGTGGATCATCTAGCGGAGCAACAAATTATCCAATATACAATAAAATGACGCTCCCCAATGATGGCGTAATAATGCACCCCAAATACTATATGACGACACACCCTGATGATGATGTAACAAAACATTCACATACGGTGCAATGATGCCTTCCGATTTAGGTGCAATAATGCACCCTAAAAACGATGTAATGACAAACCCCGATGACGGTGCAACAACACACCCCATATACTCGAAAATGGTGTAACAATGCACCCCAAAAATATCACAATGACATGCCCCGATGATTGTATAACAAAGCATACTACATATGGTACAATGAAGCCTCCCAAAACCATTACAACTACACTCCTTGAATATTGTGTAATAACACAACTTGATTACGGTGCAATGACACACACTGATTATGGTGTAACAACACACCCCACATACGGTATAATGAAGCCTCTCAAAGACGGTGTAACAGTGCAACTTGAATGATGACAATGTAATAATGTGCCCCACATAAACGCCTCCCAAATGCAATTTAATAATGCCTCCTGAAGACGTTGACTTTCTCTGGAATCATAAAGTGCTCTCCTTGTCACCCACAACTACGACCTATGTTGTCAACATCTCGTGCAACTTCCAAGTCCAACCTTTGCAAACTACATATATCATCACAACTCACCATTATGTCCTACGTGATGATCTACAACTTACATTTCTCATAACTCGCATAACTTCCAACTCCTGCCCCTACATTCTACAAACTTCATCACAACTCACTAATATGTAATATGTGATCAATTATGACCTATGCAACCCACAACCATGTAGCTTCTAAATCTAGCCTTTGCAGCCTACGATTGTCATCACAACTCGCCACTATGACATGCATGAACAATTGTGGACTATGTGGTCGACAACTCGTGCAACTTCTAACTCCATCCTCTTTGGCATGTCAATATATTATAGTTCACCAATATGCCTTACGTGACCAATTGCAGCCTGTATGACTAATAGTTCTTATAGCTTCATAATATAGTTTATGTGGTCAATCGACGCTATTTAAGTGACCATCTACAACCCACACAACCAACTGCTACAATGACTATCAGTTATTGCCTGCACCACAAACTAGTGCTATGTTTACCATCTATAATATTCATGATAAACTTATGCCTCCTTACCAGTCAACTACAGCCCGCTATGATCAAGAATTTTATTCATTGCAGCTAGACTATGACTATTATTGATAAATTTCTATTGTACTTTTATAATGACCAACTTTATAACTTCATCTTTCCTAATTCAAGAGAATAATGAACATGTGTACTCACTATTAATAATGGATTATTTTAACTAGGCTAAGACCCATGATTTTCCCCTTTTACAATACTTTTTCACTTGAAAAGACGAATAGCCCCTTCTATTTTTCCTTAATTATGTGAGTGTATGTTAGGTTTCCGTCCCACTTTAAGATAAAATTTTTTTACTCTATCAATGTGGACTGATACATTTAAAATAAATAGTATTTTTAGACACATTTTTTATACTTATTTTTAAGATATTGTGCTTTAATGGAAGATATTTGTGTGTTTTTCTTTCAGGTATAAGTAAAAAAGTGAAAAATGCTTAAATGAGTGAAAAAGAATCAAATTTAGAGAAAAGATGTGAAAATTGTGCTAAAGTGTTTTGGCGCCTAAGCGTCATATCCGGTGCTTAAGTGCCGTTTAAAAAGAGAAGGTCGCGCCTAAGCGCCAGAGGCAGTTATTTGGCGATTTTCTCCATTTTGGCCGAATTTTGAAGAGGTATTTGAGGCATCTATTGGCTTAAGAGGGTGGTAATAACCACTAAGAACAAAAATATTATTGAAAGACTTGTGAAAGGAGACATCCTTGGGAGAATACATCGAATTTAGGCACATTTTGATGAGTTATCAAGACACCTCTTGGAGATTTATAAAAGAAGGAAGTTAAGTTATAAAAGAAGGAAGTTTTTACATTTGAAGTGGGTGCTTGAAGAGGGAGAGAATGTTGGAGTCCTGAGAAGAAGATCGTGGAGAATCTTGTGGAGAGATTCAAGCACCATAAAGTTTACTTGTTTCCTTTTGTTTTTAGTTTTATTTTGAGAGCTAAGAGTGTTGTAAAAGAGAAGAGATTCAAAGGAACTTCAAGAGTTTAGTGGAGGATTTGTTTTTATCTTTTGTTTTAAACTACTTTTGCTTTTAATCGAGACTTCTTGTTGGTTTGAGAATGATTTCTACTTTTAAACTAAAGTGTGGTTTTATTTTCTCCATGAATTCTGAGTAGTTTTCTTTATCTTTCTCCTTAAAATGATAAGAAATTAAAGTTTGGATGGAAGTTGTGGAGAGTATTGATCTTTAATGTTAGAACAAATTGTGATGACTTAAATCCATGAACTTCATTTACTTCTTGATTTGACCAATCCAGATGTTAAAATTTATTGTGAGAACATGTAAGAACTGGGCTGGTATTGTCTCAATCAACAATTGAAAAGATTCATATGAACTTGTATGAATGAGAATGTAATTCATATGATTTAGTGCAAATAAATAGGAAAATAATCACTGAATGGTGTAGAGTTGGAGGAATTTAAAGTGACAGGTTAAAACCCCCAACTTGATTTATTATTTTAGGTTCTCATATGAGATGTTAGCCGCTAGGTGGAGGGAATCGAGGGAACTCTAGAGTGAGAGTTGGTATATTCCATGTCTAGCTGGTCTTTAGAACTATTCAAACTTTAAATTAGCCAACGCTCTTTATAGCATCTCTAGTAAGGGTAAATAATATATATTCTCCTATTTGACACAGCACAATTTGCATACTTCCATAATAAAATTCATATACTTATTACTGATTCACGATAAGGAGAAAGATATTTTTCAAATTTAGTACTTTTCTTTTACATAAACTCAAGTTATCTTTTTTAAATTGTCACTGTTCTGTCAATATATCAAAAATACCCAAAATATTTGAATTTTAATACTGCGAAAATATTTGTAGTTTAAGCAATTGTATTTTTAGGATAGAAAGTTGCTGTTCAAAAGTGCATATTGCGTATTCTCCCTGTGGGTTCGATATTCAGGTCTTAATCAAAAAGTCCTATATTACTTGATAACGATACATATATTTGCGTAGTATCTCAATATATATGTAAATTGAAAAGTTAAATTCTTATTTTCTTCAGTATCAAGTTTTTGGCACTGTTGTAAAATAAGGAAATATAAGTGAAAACTATAATTAAAGTAATTATTATATTGTTGCATATAGACAGTCGGGATCATGGACCTTGTTAGACATATCATTTTGGTATTGTCTATGAGAATCGAAGTTTAGTTTCATACTATCTTCCTATTTGAGACATCTAGCCTTTACTTTGTCTTTCAATGATATATATCATCCAA